GGCGGTGGAGACGAGCGCGCAGGCTGGAGGGGAGGGCCGGCGCTCGCAGCCCCCGGGGCAGGAGGGGGCGAAGAAGAGGGTGGCGCGAGCGCAGGGAGGAAGGGAGAAGAAGTTTATCGGGGCGCACGTGTCCATAGCAGGTATCCCGGCACGCACCGTGGACAATACACCCACCTGTAACACGCAGGACGGAGCAGTTGATGACCTTGCTAACACACCCACGGATGTGAATTCACCCTGTGGGTCGTGTGCTTGTTTCGTAGGGGCGGGCATCTGTAACTGTGTCGCCCTGCGGCTAATGCGAAATCAACGTGTTTTTTCCACATTCTGTCGCGTGGACACTGTTCCCTGTCCCTGTATCTCCAGGAAAGCAGCAGAGAAGCGGCGATCTCCCTGCAGCTGTTGCCTTGTCTGCACATCTGTCAGCATGTCCGCACGCCGTCTTTAAAACCGGCTTTTAGTTATTTTTATTAGTGTTTTGTTTATCGAAGAGCATAAGAAAGGCTTCAAACGAAAGGAGGGCAAGTGCTCTCTCGAGCTGTTCTGGGAAAGTCTCTAGGACGTGTGAGTACACCTGTCTTGGGTGTCTTTGCTGTTGTCCTGCTCCGGCTTTGCAAAGCCCTCTGGGACATTGTCATGTAAGCTGCCCCAGCAGTTACAGATCATTACTAAAGCTCCCAAAATGAACACAGCTGCACAGCTGGGGCAAACTCCACCTGCCCCCACAGGCTCTGCCCTTATGGGCAGATCTGAGCAGAGGGTGGTCTCGGTCAACAGTGATGAGCTGACTGACCAGTCTGCTGGCAGTCTGAGACTGAGGCCGTCCAGTGAGTCCAGCAGACTGGACCCCAGTTCTCTGTGTCCTGGTCCTGGAGGAACACTGCTGGTGCTCATTCCAGCATGAACTGGGGAACGAACTGATCTGCTGGCTTGTTAGGACTTGAATTCAACTTGTTTCTTTGGTCAGTCCTGAATGCCCAAATGCCCACATTCAAGCTCACTGTTTGCAGCTGACTGTGCACGGAATGTCACTCAGTTGTTCCTGAATTTGCTGGCTCTTATTTCCGGTTAAAGAGCTCCTGCTAGTTAATCAGATATGGCTGGGAATGAGACTATATTAGGGCACACCCTCAATGGGAGGGGCATTGCATTAGACACGCCCACAGTAGGAGTGGCACTGTCAGCCATGCCCACAGGTGTGGGGAGACTCGCATGTCCCTACATCCATGGCAACATTATATCGGACACGCCCAGGGGTGGGAGAGACGACACGTCTCAGACACGCCCACGGGTGGGAGAGATAGGACACGTCTCAGACACGCCCACGGGTGGGAGAGACAAGACACGTCTCAGACACGCCCAGGGGTGGGAGAGACAGGACACCTCTCAGACACGCCCACGGGTGGGAGAGACGACACCTCTCAGACATGCCCATGGGTGGGAGAGACAGGACACTTCTCAGGCGCGCCCGGGATATTTCCAGGATCTTGGACGGATTCCTCAGGCCTCTGTGGACAGGGGTGACACCTGGCGGGCTCCTGGGGGTGAGCGGGTCTCAGCCCGCGAGTGTTGCCTCTCGCCCTCTCGCCCTCTCGCCCTGTGCAGGGGGCATCTGGAAGGCAGTGGAGGAGTGCGTGTCCTTGGGGGGGCGCTCTTTCGCCATGTTCCTGGGCTCCCAGCGCTCGTGGCAGCGCCCCCCCCTGGACGAGAAGGCGGCGGCCAGGTTCCGGGAGGCCTGCCGCGAACACGGGGTCGAGCCCGCCTTCATTCTGCCTCACGGCTCCTACCTGATGAACTGTGGCTCGCCCAAGCAAGGTGCGTG